TTGTCGGTGCTCCATAGGCGTTGTGTCCTGTCCCCATCCACCTAGCCCTGTCAGCACTTAGCATCTTTTGGAACGCCTCAGAGAAGACTGGAGTGACAGGCAGGGAGCTGCCAGGGGCTATATCTCTTCTTCCAACCACATCTAACATTTGATGTTGAGATTTCTAATCTGAACAAGAGCCCAAAGGACCTATGGAAGATGCTCAGAGCAGGATCAGTTCAGGTGTGATGACCTTGAGTCTGATCCTAGGGATGGTCCAGGTGGTTCCAAAGAACAATTCTTTTTTCTTTGATGGAAACCAGCCACGTTCCAAACATGATTTTTGGGGCATAGTCCAAGAGTCTGGATCAGAACCCAAGCCATATGTGCTCAGGGGCTGGCCAGGGACCAGTGAGATAGCTCATCTCAGAAGTCCAGGAGAAAAGTTTCATGTTGGATGTGGAAACATGAAGAAAGGCATGACCACCCAGGGCGGAAGGCTTCTAGAGCCACTTGGAACTAGAGGTGACAGCCATGGCTCTTCTGGTCCTCTCTGGGACCAAGAGTGCAGAGTGAGTGGTGATGTCCAGAGGCCCCCGTGCTCCCCACGACTCTGCAGTGAGCCCCGATCAACAGGACAGCACTCTCCAGACCTCCCCAGTCCCAGCGTGTATTGATACCATGCTACAAGGAGCATGTGACCTTCACGTTCAAATTATCACATGAGCTCAGTGAAAATATCACTCTTAAAGGAAGACCGTATCAAAAAATGTATTTTCCTACATACATTTGAAAGTATATTTTGCCTTCTGTGATAGATTGAATATGGTTGGCCCAGGGAGTAGCACTATTAGGAGGTGTGGCCTTGTTGGAGTAGGTGTGGCCGGCCTCATTAGAAAAAGTGTGTCACTGTTGGGGCGGACTTTAAGACCCTCATCCCAGCTGCCTGGAAGCCAGTCTTCTGTTTGCCTTCCGTACAAGATATTAAACTCTCAGCTCCTCCTACACCATGCCTGCCTGGATGCTGCCATGCTCCTGCCTTGATGATAACGGACTGAACCTCTGAACCTGTAAGCCAGCCCCAATTAAATGTTGTCCTTATAAGAGTTGCCCTGTCATGATGTCTGTTCACAGCTGTAAAATTCTAACTAAGTCACTTTCCTTTAAAAAAAAAAAAATCCAGGATCTTGTACATACTATGGCATCCTTTAAGCTATATTTAAAGGACAATGGAAAGTAAGAGAAATAACATCTGGAAGTCATTTCTGATCCTACATGTCCTCTGGTATCTGTGCCTATACCATGATGCACTGGCGTGCACGCTCTCTCGGACAGACACACACACAGGAACATTTACAGCACCACCTTTTCAATGTGTATGTGTGAGTGACTGCATGTCTGTATGAGTACCACGTGCAGGTGAAGCCAGTTTCCAGGAAACTGTGAGCTACCATGTGGGATGCTGGGAACCAAGCATGGAGTGTTCTCTACCCCTGAGCCATCTCTACAGCCCCTGGTACCACACTGCTAGCATCGTCAACCACTTTCAGTCTCTCACTTCACTGAATACAGTGCAGAAACCTTGGAGCTGAAGGACTTGGGTCAGGTTTTTCCTTTGCAATCTGGAAGAGTTTAACAATATACTAATTCTATAAGCAAGCCCCCAAGCAACCAGATATCAGCAGCCTGTTGTCTGACTATTTTGATTTGCATCTCTGCTTGTGCACATGTTTGACTATTTGTTGTCAGTGACAGATGCCTTGGGCAAGCCAGTGTCCTGAGTGTGCAACACCAGCCCCGAGCTCTTTGGGCTTCACCAGATCTTAGATGCAAGGCAGCTCCCACTGGAGTCCCAGGGGCAACGGCACGTGGGAGTTGTTGGCAGTGTCTCCCAAGATCCTACACAACTTGCAGAAGCCTCTGTCTCCCACAGTCCACGTCTGCAGGGCACAGGGACGTGGGTTACACGGGTGGTTGTTGGTTTTCTCTTTATGTTTAACAAACTTTTAGCACCAGTGTCCGACTGTCAGTCAGCTCAGGTTTTAGTCTCAATACAGCCATCCTTGACTGATACATATCAAGCATAGATTATTGTTGCTTATCTGCTTGTTTTCTGAGAAGGAACCATGTAGCCTAGGCTGGCCTTCAACTCCCTATATAACCAAAGGTGGCCTAGAACTGCTACTCTTTTTGCTTCCACCTTGTAAAGTCTGGGATACAGGCATGCATCCATTCTTGACTCTATTCCCCAGCTACTGTGCCTGGCACATACTCAGTGCTGTGTGGTTAGCATCCTAGCATTAACGGCAGAAGCTCTTAGTGAGAACTGGACTTACAGTTTTAAGTGAACATGGACCAGCTGGGCCTACTGGCATAGGCTACAACCTCAGCCACTACAGAGGCTAAGGCAGGTGTGTCACAAAGCCAGCCTGGGCTACAGGTGACTTCATGGCCAGCCTGGGAAACTTGAGACTATCTTGAAAAGTAAAAAAGAAGGCTGGGGTCGAAGCTCAGTGGTACAGTATTCACTTAATGTGCATGAAGCCCTAATTCCCCAAAACAATACGTAGACTAGACAGGTGAAAGATAGATGATAGATAGATAGATAGATAGATAGATAGATAGATAGATAGAGCATGAGTGTCTGAAATAAAAGCATTTTTTTCATTCATTAAGAGTTAAACTAGGCCGGGCGGTGGTGGCGCACGCCTTTAACCCCAGCACTTGGGAGGCAGAGGCAGGCGGATTTCTGAGTTCGAGGCCAGCCTGGTCTACAGAGTGAGTTCTAGGACAGCCAGGGCTACACAGAGAAACCCTGTCTCGAAAAAACAAAACAAAAAACAAAAAAAGAGTTAAACTAAGCCAGGCATGGTGGCACACACCTTTAGTCCCAGCACTCAGGAGGCAGAAGCAGGCAAATTTCTGAGTTTGAGGCCAGCCTGGTGTACAGAGCAAGTTCAAAGACAGCAAGGGCTACACAGAGAAACACTGTCTCCAAAACACAAAACAGAACAAAAGTCTGTTCAAGGTTTATAAATACACAAATAATTTTTAAAAGGAGTTAAACTATGGGTTGGAGAGAGATGGTCCAGTGGTTAGAGCATGGTCTGTTCTTGCAGAGAACCTGTGTGTATCCTGTTCTTAACACTGGTTCACAACCATCTGCAACTCCCAGCGCTTAGAGGTGAGAAGCCGAAAGTTCAGGAGTTCAGGGTCAAGACCAACTTAGGCTACATTAGATACTACCCCTGCCCAGAAAAAAAAAAAAATGATAATAAGTAAAAGAAAGCAGATAAGCACTTGGCAGTGAGTGGCTGCCTCTGAGACACTGGGGATAGTAGGTAGGTTGAGACAGGCAGACATCTGCCACCTGATCCCAGGTGAGGGAGCAGCCCGTCACCTGCACGTCCTGTTCTAGCTTGATCTTGATTGTGTTGTACTCCTCGCAGTCCCAGACCCGCTGCTTGTTGAGCTGCTTCTCGTAGTCCTCCACCTTCTTCATTCGGTTGATGAGGTACTCCAGCTAAGGATGGCAGACAACAGGGTTAGCGGGCCTCCTGACCAACTCAGTCCCCGAGAGCCCCAGAAGCAGGCCATGGTGCACCGCCTGGAAGTTTCCTTGGGTGGCAGTCAAAGGCCCACACTCCAAGGCTTTGAGCTCTGGGAGCCTTAGCTAGGTTCTTATTGTAGAAACTACAGAGAGGCGCTCTGTCAAAAAGTTAAACCGGAGCCGGGCGGTGGTGGCGCACGCCTTTAGTCCCAGCACTTGGGAGGCAGAGGCAGGTGGATTTCTGAGTTCGAAGCCAGCCTGGTCCACAGAGTGAGTTCCAGGACAGCCAGGGCTACACCTTGTCTTGAAAAACAAAAAAAAAAAAACAAAAAAAAAAAAAAAAAAAAAAAAAAAAAAAAATGTAAAAGGGGGGGGGCAGTTTGGGGGACGGTTTTGTGGTTATTTGGATAAAAGCGCCCCAATGTGG